TATTTATTGTTATAAAAATGACAAGAAAAATGACAATTTCTACCAACACCCCATTATGGTATACCTATTAAATCTTACGATGACAAAAAGGGTATTTCAATTTTCAATCATATTATTATCATTAATAATTATTATTTTTATTTATTTAATTTTTTTTTTTGGAAGAAATCATTTATAATTAGTTGAATGCATATATATAACAATACAATAAGCAAGAATTTAATATGGTATAAGTTGGTTCACATGTAAAGATTTGTGCGAGATCGAAAAAGAGATTAATGTTTCAATTACAATCAGATGAGCAAGAATTTAATAGTTGTAGCTAACGATGTTGGTATATAGGGGGTGTCGGGTGGGTAGTAGACTATAGTAGTAATATAAAGGGAAATATTTATCAGGTGTACTTGTGTTTAGAGGTTCTCACCTAGGGGGGGGGGAATCTTTCTGTTTTTCGATTTTTTTTTTAGGAAATTTATTTATTTTAACTTCATTTATACTTCAGTTATTCAAATTAAGCGTAAGCTAAATAAGTAGTGATAAGAGTTAATAAGGCTACCCATGTTCAATTGACAAATTAAAATATACTAGATTTAAGCCTGTGCGATGCACAAGTTTCTATTAATAAACACGGTATATTTTGTAAATTGTTTATTCAAATAAATATATACAAACCAATTCTTGAAGGAAAATAGAAAGAAAATAAAATATGTAAAACTATATGTATTTGTTTAACCAACTTTTTTTCAAATTGTGAACACGGTGAAAATATTATCTTCCAACCTTTCATCACCCCTTGTAAATTAATCATTGATCGTGCCAACTGATAAGTTGCATAATTAAACCCGCCCCCTTGCAAAATTAACAGTTATGACTGAACTGACTATGATCATTGCTCATCGAGTGGGACATTAGATGAGTTTATATGGGATTTAAAAAATACTGGATTTAAAGTGGTGATAAAGTTTATTATTAGATATGATAAATTTTCTTAACATAGAACTTAATCTTTTAAACGAATAAATGATAATGGTGAACAATTTTTTTTTTTTTTTTGCTAGAAAAAAGAGAAAGGATATATTTTAATTTTAATCATTTTTTCTTATTATTTGTATCTAATCCAGATTTTTCCTTTTTAGAGAAAACTGATTTTTTTTTTAATTGAACGTGATTTAATTTTTTTAATTAATATTTTTCTATAAAATATTTTATTGTAATCACTTGTCATATTTTCATTTTTTTTATCTAATCCAATTTTTTTTAAATATCAATTAAATGTGAATTTCATTTTTTTAAGTTCAATAGTATTTTTTAAATATATAATAAATTATTTCTTTTATCTTAGATAAAATTTTCAATTTAAAAAGATAGTATTTTATTTTTATAATAAATTTAAACCTTTAATTTTAATCTTACGTGGCGCTATAAAATAGCAATCCTAAGTGGCGTAATCATACATGTTACGCTCTAAAAATACTAATCCTACATGGCGCTCTAATAATTTTAAAAAAAATAAAAATCCTAGGTGGCTCTCTAAAATCTTGGGAAAAAACTACCCTATATATATATATATATATATATATATATATTAGATTTAAACAACGTTTAATAAGTTCAGGTAAATTCAAATTAAATAGATCATATATAATTTAATTTTTACCTTCCCTTTTAATATATGCTCACCTAATGTTTACCTTGTGTGACTTTTTTTAAGCTATATTTAGTTTACCTTATTTTTGCTTATCTGATCTGATTTTAACTTATTTTCTGATGTGAACTTATTTTTCTAATATGATCTGATTGCATGATTTAACTAAACTTTAACTTTATATGTACACTATTCCATAAAGAAAATATATCAAATGAGGTCAAATATAGTTTTTTTTCATTATGGAGTTAAAGATAATTATTAGTGATGAAACTTGCACATAAAATGAAAAAAATATATTCAAGACTTATTTTTTCGAGTTTATACTCTTTTTGTTCCAAATTAAATGGCCCGTATTGACTTTTGCATTATTGACAACTTGTTGAAATTGTCTTATTGTATTGTTTTCGTATATCATCTTTTTGGTGTTTAAAGAGCTAAAAAGACGGAGGATGAGAATTGATTCCAGAATCCCCTAAAATCGGGTGGAAAGCTTGAACCACCTGAGGTATATATTAGTCAGAATTTTGCATTAACAAATATGCCGATTGTAATAAAACATGTATTTTGGAACAGAGAAGGTAGCAAGCTAGGTAATAAAGTAAGTCGAATTAATATCAGTTTCAAAATTTTAAAAAGCGATTAAAAATGAATTATGGATTTGAATAAGGGTGATTAGAAATAGTAGAAAAACAAAAACAGAAGAGAGAGAGCATGGGGTGTCGAGTCCGCATGTGGCTTGACAGGGTAGATTGGGTATAAAAGGGCCCACCATTCCTCCAATCATGTCCAAAAAGGCTGCTAGCCTGGCAATCTTTCTAGTCACCGTTCATTCTCTAAACATCACAAACCAACAACAACTACTACTACTCCTACTTCGCTTCTTAAGCTTACCACTTCTTCACTCTCCTTGTCTTATTTTCATACCTATCCCATCTTATATTATTATTATTATTATTATTATTATTATTATTACAACGGGTTTTGTATACGATTGACCATATTATGTGGCCGCTTGTAAAAGAACACAGTAATCCTTATATCACTAATTGAGTAACCCTTTAACACTAATGAAGTAATCCCATGATAGTTAATTAGCCACGTGACATGACCAGTCACATATATGAAAGAGTCTGTTATAACAATTAACAATAACATATTACTTTGCATTATTGTTGTTATTACTATTAAGGAATGTTGTGGATGCTTTATGTCATTTCATCTTAATGCAAGTCCTCTTTGTCATGTAACTACCATTTTCTAATTATTACTTGCTATTGTCTTTGATTTAATATGCCTGTTAATTTATTTGGCTAATGGAGTAGTAATTAAGAAGTCGATATTAGATATATAAGGTTGAGATCCAACGAGAGTATTCTTAATTAAAAGGATGAGAATGCAAAACTTTTACATTGAATATGCATTTTTTTTTCCTACTAAATATGTAAATTCAATTTTTAATTATATTAAATATACTTATACTTCGTATATTTCTCACAAAGAAGACGGAGACAATGAGTTGAGATATAAAAGTAAATGATTACCATCTCCTTCTCTATTTGTATAAAAATTTGGATAGTGATTATCTCGTAACAAATACAAAAGTCAAAACGAGCATTGAAAATAATACACAAGAGATTATATAATAAAATTAGCAGTACGAGCAAAATGTTGAGGTGTACAATGTTGTGAATTTCTAAATTGTTGTTAGACTTGTTACGTACTTTTGTACTTCAATTCATATTTAGCAGAATAGTTTGTTAAATAATGTGTTTTCCTTTCATAATTCATGCATATTAGGCATTGTATTGGCGTGGCTTAATGTGGATGTATGCATTTAAAACCTTATCGATTAGATTTATAAATATATATTTTGTATTCCACATGCTAGAAAGGAGCTTAGGCACTTATGCTAACAAAAGTATAATTCTTGTCGAGGCTTAGACTATTCTCTCAATGACATATTTTGATTTCATTGATTATTAGAAATTATTAAGCTTATTTTAGTCTAAAAAATCTAGATTGACGACCGTGTTTGAATTCATTAAAATTCATTTTGTCTAAAGTTATAAGTCAATAAGTAAAGTCAGTGATTGCTTAAAATCTTTTGGTCATGAATTATCTAATACGGAGTAATATTATAAAATTCCAATGGTTGCCCATAATCTTCTGGTCTATCATTTTCTCCCCCCCCCCTTATTCTTAATAACGAAGTTCAACCGCTGAATCCATGTGAATTTGAGTATCCATTTTACATGAAATACCTACATTCCTCTAGTGCTTTAGTGTTAATATGTGTCAAGTTAGAGATAATTACATTATTAGTAGTCATATTTGTCCGAAATGACTCAAAATAGATTGAACAACATTAAGGATGTGTTCTATTTACCTGATTTTTACTCATCTGAACTTAGTAGAACTTATTAAAACTTATTTTAGTTGTAATTTGTACTTAGGTAGCCCTTATCAAAATTTATTTTTCTTGAACTGAACTTATTTAACTTGATATAAATGAAAATAAGGTGAACAAAACAAGCCATAACTTGATTACACCCGTGGCGGTTTTATCTTGTGCACAGACCTATAATCCATGAACCATATACTTAGGTAGCCCTTATCAAAATTTATTTTTCTTGAACTGAACTTATTAAATCTGATACAAGTGAAAATAAGGTGAACAAAACAGGCCATAGCAGAAGGAGGAGCTGTGTACTTTCGCTTCTTTGGCGTGGGCAGCTTGGACGAGTAGGAACAAGGCTACATTCGATCTTTCACCCCACGATCCTCGCACCCTAGCTCTGAATTTTGTGCGGTATGTACAAGAACATTGTCTGTATACTGCTAGAACGAGTACAACTGCCAGACTAGTACGTGGTATATTAGCATCTTCATGGCATAAACCACCAGCAGGCACCATGAAAATCAATGTTGATGCTGCCATACTCCATAACAATTCTGTTGGGCTAGGTGCTGTAGCTCGGGACAGCAATGGTCATATATTATTTACAGCAGTGAGGTGCAATTCAGGTAGGGGTGGCAATTCGGGTCAGTAAGTCGGGTTCGGGTCAGATTTCGGGTCGATTTCGGGTTATGCTTAGAAACTATTAAAAATAGTGTAAAACTTAATATTATTACGAAATATGAAATTTGGGTCAAATCGGGTCGAATTCGGGTTGTTCGGGTTCGGTTCAGGTCGGGTTCGGGTCTCTCTCAGTAACTTCGGGTCATGTTCGGGTCGGGTTTTCGTGTCGGGTCAGGGTTTGCCAGCCCTAAATTCAGGAACTTGGGATCCCAGCACTGCAGAAGCAGCAGCTTTGCTCTTTGGGGTGGAATTAGCTGGCAGATTTGGGTATAGAAATGTGTGGATGGAGAGTGACTCTCTTGGTGTGGTGCAGAAAGTGAGGAGTAGGATTAAGGGCTATAACTACTGCTTTGCTTTCATCGATCGTATTGCTGAGAAGATTTCGTCTTTTGAGTCTTTCCGTTGTAGTCATGTGAATAGGGTGGGCAATACTATTGCTCATCTAGTTGCTAGATCTTGTCCTAACGTTTTGCCCCCTTTCCGGAAAGCACTTTACAGCTTGCGGAATTGGATATTATATAATTTCTTGCTCGGGTTCAAAAAAAAAAAAAAAAACAGGCCATAACTTGATTACACCCGTGACGATTTTATCTTGTGCACAGATGACAGACCTATAATCCTTGAACCATATTGGGTTGAGCCCCTCAAAGGTATGCGACTATGCGGTATGCCCCAATATTGGATCCTTAACCCGAACCCGCAAAACTGAAACTTCAATCACTTCCTAGTTCCTACTTCTTCCTATCGTCAGACAACAGAAGCCAAAATCCCCAAAACCCTCCCAAAACCCTAATTGAAATCGCAGAGGAGAGAGAAACTTGAAACTTCAACAACAATGGCGCCCAAAGATAAATCCGAAATTACCAAGAAAAGGAAGCGTGATTCAGGCAGTAAAATCGAAGCAACATACCTCTCTAAAATAGAGAAGAAACCCAAAAAACTCACTAGTAAACCCATTTCTGCAAAACCCTTTAAGAAGAAAGTGGAAATTCCAGTTAAGGATGGACCTTTGTCGAAAAAAGAGCTCCGACAAATTGCCAAGGTTTTTATTTCATTGAATTTGGTTTTTATTGATTTTTTGAGATTATGTTTAATTGTATGTTATGTTGAAATTAATTTGAGGAGTTGGGGTTTATTGGGTGTGTTTGGATTTTAATTAAAGTTGTGTAATTTTGATGGTTGTGTTGTGTTTTGCAGGAGAAAACAGAGGCCAGGAAGAAGAAGAGGAAGAGACATTTTACGCTTGAGCAAGTCAGTAATTCATTTTAAGCTATATCAATAAAACGATTGTTTTAGTCTTTATTGTTGTGAATTACTATTCAAAATTGTTTTTATTATTCGTTATTATTAGAAGTTTTATTATTCAAAATTGTTTTAGTCTTGAGTTTAACAGTTATCGCGATGAAATGGGTGGAACTTGATCGTTTCTGTGTGAAATGGTGTGGTAAGTTTATAGGTTTTTTGGATTGTTAAGCATTTGTTAGACTTAATGCTAGCAGGCGGGTTTAATCATCTTTTAGACAGTGTGCAATTTGGTGCCTAGAGCTAGAAGTAAATTGAGTGAAGACCTTCATTGCCAAGACATTCTAGAAAAGATATCAAGTCTTTGTTTGATGTTAAGGTTATTTAATTAAGTGTGGCAATTCATGGATGTGAATGTGATGTATACAAGTAGCCATGGGGATAACAATGTATTGATTATGTATTAATGACCACTACGAGCTCTAGCAGAAGAGCCAAAGAGGCATGCAGTGCCATGTGAGATTATTTTTTTGTGGGTTTGGGGACTTGCCAGGGGGTGGGGGTGGGGATTGAAAGTAACAATTACATTCAATGGAGGAAATGACTTAAGGTAGAATGCTATGTTGTTCTGCCTCTTCAAATTATCCAAAGAACCCGTCTGGCTGTGTCAGGCCCTCTAATCTTCAATGTGGGTATGAAATCTGTTCCTGAACCCTTGTCAGTGGATTGTGAATGTCTTTGTTGATAGTTATAACCTTTTTGAAGCAATTACCTTTATCTGCCTCACCTTTGAATGTACCTTTGTGTAGGAGCTTGCACTATTATGGGAAAAGATGAGGCGTCGTAATATTTCCAAAGAAGAGAGATCAAAGTATGTCACTAAACATGTGTACCAATGGGATTTTTTTGCCTAGATTGCTATATGTTTGTTCACTCATTCACCCAATTGCTTCTAGGTTTGTTTCTGAGGCATTGCAGAAGATGAAGGGTAAAATACCAGAAATTGCTGGCTCTCATATCTCATCACGTGTATTGCAGGTGATGTGAACTCATATGCATTAATTTAGTGGAATCATACGTTATCAAGGTTGTAGGAATTCATCTATTGATTAACATGGTTGCTTGTGATTTTGATTATTCTACTTCAGACGTGCGTTAAACATTGCTCAGATGCTGAGAGAGATGTAGTGTATGAGGAGTTGAAACCACATTTACTCACTCTCGCCTCAAGTACTTATGCAGTCCATCTGGTGACCAAAATGTTTGACAATGGTATAGCTATTGCTTGATATATAACCAAAAATTAAGATCTACATAAATAAAAACTTGCTCGTTTCGATGCCTTTTGTTCAAGTTTTCCTTTTTTCTTTTTGCAGCTTCCAAATCTCAGCTGCCACGCTTGATCTCACTACTTCATGGGCATGTTGCTTCACTTTTGAGACATAGTGTCGGTTCTATTGGTATGTTTTACATAGGATGAATGTGCTTGAATCTTTCTTGTTTTGCTCTTAAACTTTTTAATATTCCAGCTACGTAATAAATGAGCAAGCCTTAGTTTGTCTTAATGATAAACAAAAAATGTTTATCTTGTGACATTTCTACAATTAATTCAACAAAAGATCACAGTCAGCATGGCATTTCTATGATAAAATCAACATGTGTAGGGCCCACATTTAAGAAAAAGTTGTAGATTTATTTACAAAAATGCCACTGATAAACTTTTTTTGTTCTCTCGTAATAAATGCTAAATTTTTAATATAAGAAGCCATAAAATTATGTATGTTTTGTATGGTTTAGATTTGAAACTGCTTTTAGCTTAGGGTCTCTATTGTATCACTATATATTTGTTTTATTTCTTTTCATTATACATCTACTGATATACTGCTTTATATGACATATTTGCTATCATTTTCTGTCAGTTGTTGAACATGCATATGAAATGGGAAATGCGGCGCAAAAACGTGAACTCTTGATGGAATTATACTCTACCGAGCTCCAGTTGTTCAAGGATCTGTCAAATATTAAAGAAAACAAGTGAGCTTCATTCCTATGTAGTCACGTGACATTGTCTTGTGTCTTAACCTCAATCTACTGTAGTGCGGCTAGTGTCAATATGCTTTTGTAGTGCGGCTAGTGCCAATACGCTTTTGTAGTGCATGGGGTTTTTGGTTATCCTTCATGATACGTTTAGTATATTACGGTTATAAGATTTTATATTCTTAGGTTATATCTAATATGTTTGCTAGTATGAATGCCTTTGCAGACTACTAAAGTTACTTTGCTATAATGGATGGTATTATTTGAGACCTACTTGTAGTTATTTCTTTCTTGGATGTCCCATATTTATACAGTTTAATTACAACAGAATCATAATTCTTTTGAAGGTGGAAGTGTTAAACTCAGTTTCTAGGGCAAAACTCTACATTTCTTCTTCTATTGAAGATTGCAAAATTATGATTAGCAGTACTTTGGTTGTATGGCACAATAATTATAAAATATAACAGTATTATTTAAGGGGGCAAACAGAGTAGGTGTGAAGGAAGTACTTTTTTGTGGAATTGTTACAAACTTTAAGGTCGTGGGGTTTCAAAGGGAGTATGGTATAAAGTGTCGAGCATGTGGTGATCTCATTGTCATTTCCTGTTAGGGCTGAAGCAAAACTATAATTGATATGCAAATAAAAATAAAAATAAAAAGTAAAAGAGGGTACGAAGCATAGTCTTTTGTCTAACCTACACTGGATAACCTTAATGATTGCATGCACATTGAAGTTAGCTGCCCAATTTGTGCAAAGATGAAATTAAAGCAGCAGATAAGCTCCTGAAGAATTGTGTCAAATGCTGATATGTAATTTTGTAGATTTGATGCACAATGCTATTATAATGTTGCATTCTAATAATTTGAGCTGTTTTGTTTAATTGTTTTTTTCAGGATTGTTGATATAATATCTAAAATAGGCCTTAAAAAGTTATCTGTATTGCGCCATATGACTTGCGTGATTCAACCTATTTTGGAGAAAGGAATAGTTGATCACTCAATCATTCACAAAGCTTTGATTGAGTACCTCAGCATTGCTGATAAGGTATTTATCTAGTTATTTACCCACAAAGCTTATTGTTGTGGCTCTGTTGTAAATTTTTCTGGTGAAGGTGTTATTATTGCCTCCTTCCTAATTTAGTTTTTGTAGCTCTCAGCAGAAGACGTTATAAAACAATTGTCTGGATCTCTCCTTGTTCGGATGATTCACACAAAGGATGGTTCGAGAATAGGGATGCTCTGTGTGAAGCATGGTAGCGCCAAGGTCTGTTGACACATTTTAGTTAACAAGGATTTTGCATTTAGTTACGTTTGACATGAGACTTGAACTGATTTTCTTTTGCTACATCCTTGTATTAGGAAAGAAAGAAGCTTATTAAGGGAATGAAGGGACACGTTGGGAAGATTGCCCATGATCAATGTGGAAGCTTGGTATGGTTACAATTGGATTATTTTAGTCCAGTTGGATTTATGTTTTAATTTCTATAATCTCTTTTTCTAATAGAATATTTATAGAGCTTCTGCAATATATTAAACAAATCCAGACCATCTACAGTGTTGTAAGCAATCTTTTCTAAATTTACATCGACATGCCTAAGAATTCTGTAAATACTGCATGTGAGTACAAAACTCTTTACTTTGTATTTTTAGATTATTTTTTTTTCATGAGTTTATATGAACTGGATTATTGCCAATAGTTTGCGGGATTAAAGAAATGTTTGCTTATAGCTCTTGACTTTTTCAAGTATCTTAGGATTCTTAGCAATATTTAATCATTTTCATTGCTCTTTCTGATGGTGGAATGTCAAATTTGTTTTAAGTTTTTATTTCTCTTTAAGAAGGTTTTAGCTATTGTCTGGGTAGTATAAGCTAAAGAAAACATTATCCTTAGTTGATACTACTTTCAGCAACTCCTCTCCTCATTCCTATTTAAAGCTCCTCACTGAAAATGCTTTGCAGGTTCTGGCCTCTGTTCTATCAACTGTTGATGATACAAAACTTGTTACTAAGGTTTGGCATTTCTCTTCTTTACAATTTTTTTTTTGGGGTTGGGGGATGTAACGGTTACGTTAAATCAGAGAGAATCTATATTTGTATGGATCAGTTCTGAAATCTATGCATAATGTTTCTTCTAACAGGTTATCATTCGGGAGCTACAACCAATCCTGAGCGAACTTGTTTTGGATAAGGTGCACCTTTTACCTTTTGAATTTATTATGTTTTCTCAATGTTAGGGAGGGGAAGATGTAACTGTTACGTTAAATGAGTTACCTGTCATCCCTTTTGAATTCAGTAAATGCACTGCTTTCTTTGTTTAGTTTTGCTTTATACATTGGGCTTCTTCACAAGAAGCTGGTTTTGCTATATCGTATATTTTCCTAATTTGAGTACCTCACTGCCTTGATGAGTTAAGGCATGACTGCAGTGATTGTTTGCTTGGTTCTTAAATTATCCAGTGGCATCTGTAGTTCCCGACTAATTTTTCTCTTCTCTTTTTCTTTTTTGGTGGTAAAGAGTGGGAGGCGTCCAGTTTTGCAACTATTGCATCCAAACTGTCTGCGTTATCTTAGTCTTGATGATTTGGCTTCTTTGAATGCTTCAATTCCTTCACTTTGCCCAAAGGCAAGTCATCCAATCTTTGAGCTCCATTTTCAATCTTCCCTTTTGCATTATCGCCGTGCATTTAGTGCTCATTTCTTTTACATATTATAACAGGCTGAAAATGAAGCAAATCACAATAAGGACAAGCTAGTTGAATCTTCAGATAACGATGAAGAAGATAAGGAAGTTGTACATGTCAACAATTTACTTGCTAGTGAAGCCGATGAAAGCATGGAACCTGAGGAAGACACCCACTTGGCTGAGGGAGGTAAAAAGGATCCTTTTGTCAGGAGGCAGGAGTTGTTAGTGAGAAGCGGGCTTGCTGAGGTTTGTTGGTTGATTTATTTTGGAGGAACTGATTCATTTTAACCAAGTTTCAAAAAACCATAAACCATAGTTTGTTAGAACTTGCTTTTTGGAATGGGTAGTTGGCAAGATTAATGAGTGAATGTTTGCTAGAATATTATTTTGAGAGTGATCTTTGTGGACTCTTTTCTGGATAATATATTTATATATTTTTCCACAACCATGATTTTTTCCTATGCTTTCGGAGAATTGAACTATATGCGCTTCCACAAGCTTAAGTGCTTCCCTCATGTTCCTTTTCTTTGATGAGGTTTTAACTTTCTTTTTTATTTGGGGGTTGGGGAAATTGGGGGTTGGATGTTGGATGGCTTGGAATTGTTTAGGAATGGGTGTTTTTTTAGCCTTTCTCCCCTATTTAGGATCTGGGTTGGTGACTTGGCGTGGTTATTTTTGTAGATGAAATATGCTCAAAAAGCTTATTTCAATGTATTTATTAAGGGTGACATAACACCTAACTTCTTGATCATCTTGCAGAGTCTCGTTGACGTCTGCATTGAGAGTGCAGAGGAATTACTCAAGTCTAATTTTGGAAAAGATGTTCTGTATGAGGTGCCTTTTTCGATTATACCACTTTTTAATATATTTTTGGTTGTAGAAATTACTTGTCCTTTTTTGTACAGATGTGATTTTCTGCTAACAATAATATTCCTTTTCCCAAGTTTATCACAATTAAATCATATAGTTATGCAGATTTTATTCAAGGCACTCATAATAGTCATAACTCATCTTCGCTTTCAGGTTGCTACGGGGGGTGTTGATGGTATTCTTCGTCCAACTTTGGACGAAAAATTGACAAGCCTTTATGAAAAAGTGGCAACTCTTGCAGCTCAGCCTAAATCAGATGAATCAGAACATGTTCTTGAGAACTTCCACTCTAGCAGAACCATCAGAAGACTTGTGTTGGACTGCCCAGCTTTTGCCTCAATTCTATGGAAAACAACACTAGAAGGGAATTCTAAGCTATGGGCTGTTGGTCACAGGTATCTCCTGCTTCCAACCTTGAATCTCTTATACTTTTCATTTGCCTATAACTGTCTGATTTTCTATATTTTGGTATGTCTTTAGTGCAAAGGTAGTTGCAGCGTTCGTCGAGTCGTCAGATCTGGAGGTCCAGAAGATGGCAAGCAAGGTGTTGCAGCCTCTAATCAATAGCGGTGTTCTTAAAATTTCTGAGACTAAACCAGCGGAGAAATAAATCATCCCTCAAAATGAATAAATATATATATATATATATTTATGTCCTGAATATTATATGATCAATGCTGTCTAGATTATACAACCCGGTGCTGATGGGTTTCACATCAACGAGATCAAGAATTTCAATGGTTAATCACAAGCGGCATCACCCCTTACAGTCGGAAATTTTGGTCGAACATTATTATTTTAGTATATTCCGAGATAAGTATGTAGTTAACAAATGTCCTTATGCAGTTACACTTTTTTTTTTTGTTGAACTTGCATATCTATAAGGGATCATTTCGGTCCAGATTTTGTAGCTGAATGTTTTTCCCCTGGTATAATACCATATAGCTGCTTTAGATCCAGTTCTCTTTTTTGAAAATCCAAGGAGTTATTTGGGTGAAGTTACAAAGAACCCTACAAGAAATAGGTGAAAAAGGAGATTTGGTTAAACTATTTGAAAAGTGCTAAGATTTTACTAGTATTTGATTTCTGATCTTGGTTATAGATTCTGACATAAAATAAAGGTTTTATGAACAATAAAACTGGAGAACATAATTCATGAGATAAAATTTCACTAGTACTCCCCTCCACAACAGCAAGATAACAAACACACAACTTTTTTGTCTTGTATGCCATGTATTTTGAATATAAAAGTTGGTCAAAATTCTAAAATGTGTGTACTACATGTTTGTATTTGTTCAGGTTTAGAATGGGTAATCTCACCTTTGATCAATGAATCTGCCTAATTTTTGTTTTTTAGATAAAGATTTTCCTGGAGTAATCTTTACCACTCCGTATTAGTTATAAACTTTGAATGCATTTTCTAAGACTAATTTTGGAATTCATGACCAAAAAAAAAGAAAAAAAAACAAAAACAACTTTGGAATTAATGACAAAATTACTCTTTGATCAGTATTATAAATGTTTATTTAGCACTTAATTTTTACTTTTAACTTCTTATAAATAATACGAATAGTTGTATTAACTATACATTTAATTATTATTCCTTGAGGAATAAGAATTAAAAAGAGTACAGTGTTTTCTTCAAAAAAAAAAAAAGAGTACAGTGATATGGATACCTAAATTGGAAAGAAAGTCTTTAAATTATTGCTAATTTAAAGGAGAAACTCTGTAATTACCCTAACAAACCTAAACATTAGGTGAGATTGACTTGAATTATTAAGCATGTTGATCCGACATTTTGATAGCTTTTTGACTAACCCTTTGCCTAATTTCTTAACAATTATTATGGAAAATAAGAATTTGCCAAAAAAAAAAAAATCATCATTTTACTGTAAAATTTTTTGTCTGCAGAAAAATGTCCAATGACCAAAGAATGTATAATCATACTAACTGTCAAGAACTAACACAAGCAGAATTAATGTTCAATGAGCTACAATCTGTTCTAAGCTCGAAAACGGGAATTTCACACCTGCCTTTTCTTTGATCAAAATTCGGAACCACGTTCCGATTTTGTAAATCTCTAAAACTTGCACCTTTCTTGTTAAACAGATTATTATGATGGTGGTTTCTAATATGTGGGTAGCCAGAATGTGTGTAACATGATGGATCGAAAACCAGGTACTCGCTTTTTGGACGTTGATGGACTCTAATGCAGCTTTCTATGACCTTTGCTTCATGTATTAGTTGATCTCTGATGGCTCTGAAATGTTGCTGTAATTTGTAAAATTTCGAGTTTCTAGTCGAGTTTGAAGAGTTGCTTGAGCTGTTGTTGGAATTGTGTGTAGGATTTGTGTTGTGTGGGATTCTGCTGCATTGAGTGCAATGGTTTCTCAACCTTTCTAAGTTGAATGATATTCTTTTTGCTTCATCAGATAAACAATTGTATGCCTGCAAAAAGTATTTAGTGGTTTAAAATTATGGCAACAAAAAAGATAAAGAGAGCATATAAGTTATCTTGGAAATTAGCTAAATTTGACTTGATAGTTAAGACCAAGCTTTGAATAATTCTGTCCTCAAACTTATATGGATCACTTCCGTATATGTCTACTAGTTGATATGAAGTACATTCAACATTGGTATCACAATATCTTTAAGGAAAATTTGCCGGGAATAACACGACCTTTGAGCGATCTTCCAAAAATAGCACCATCTTTCGATTATTTCTAAATAAAACGATTTTTCACATACTTCCGCTATAAATGGTTTATTTTTATTTTTTCAATTTTAAGGTTTTTTTTTAAAAAAAATTTTAAATCAAAATTATTTTAAAAAAAAATTGGCCAAAGATATTGTGACACGTGTCACAGGTAACCTGTAAAACAGGTTACCAACCGGTCACGTACCATTTATAGCGGAAGTATGTGAAAGGTCGTTTTATTTTGAAATAATCGAAAGGTGGTGCTATTTTTGGAAGACCGCTTAAAGGTCGTGTTATTCCCCGCAAATTTTCCTATCTTTAATTATTCTTTTTTGAACGTTTAAAATTATCCCCTTTTCATGCATTCTGACCGTTCATATGAGAATTAAACTTTAATTCTTAATGAAACTGGAGAGGTATCATCGTAATGATCTATAGTAGATAAGAAGTTCAAAAGTATAAATAACACAGCTATTGAATAACACAAAACGATTTGTAACATTGCTTATTAAAATTAATGTATGCATTCATTTTATAAATACTACCTTTAATTTATTACTATAATTTATATAAATAACTTGACCATTACAACATGAAAATTGTGATGTGTTTACCTTGAGTTATGTTACTACCAAATGACTCATAATATGTGAGCATTGGAAAGAATTGTTAGAATAATGAATCTTCTAAAAATGACTACAACCAAATGATAGAGCCATACAAGCAATTATTACACATACCTTATTCAATTTTTTTTTTAATTTTTTTTTTTTAAAGTGACAAGTTGTTCCAATTTTAAGATACTTGGTCATATAAAAATTGGGAATTTGGTGTTTGTCCTTTGATGCTTGTTAAAATTTATAATAGCCATTCAAATGTACCAAGTATTAAATAAACTAACAACCAAAATAAGACAACATTTGTGATGTAATGCAAACATTTATACTCTAATAAAGAATCATTAGTGATTATGATTCACATTATAATCTATGGTTACATGGAATATCCTAACAAAAACTCATTTTATTTTTCTATAGGTATGGAGAGTTGAACTAATATGAATATATAACATAATAGCTTCATTAGACTCTATCAACTTTAATTTTAATTTTATTAAACAGTGTCTATCAGCTGTTTAAAATAATAATATAAGTAGGTTTTCTGAACATTGTTTAATTGCTTCCCTAACAAAGAAAAAATAAATAAAAATGAACAATTCCAAGAGATTGCTTTATGGTCAACTATCCACTGGAAGTTTAAACTCTTTCATCTAACATTGCTTAATCTTTTTCAAACATTACTGAATTTAAAACAAAAAAAAACAAATATTTCATGAGATAACAGGGTTTTTTGTTTTTGTTTTTCTTTTCATTTCACAAAAAATGATAAGGTCTAAGTAAATGAATTTTTGTATGATACTTGTTAAACTAAGATTAGTACTACAACTAGTTTGTGCTAGCCAATTGGTAACTCAAAGAGTTTACAACATTTAAGATTGTAACTTAACATTGTTAAAAACTTTCCATTAAAGTGTCGTGTTTAATAATCAAACTACTCCGTACAGAGTATCATTTTACCGAATAATATCAACATAATATGTGTTTAATTAATTGTTGAGCGACTAAAATAGTATACAACTATACATACAACGTTGTTTAACTAATTCGAACGTACGATCCATTAACTTTTAGAACTTAATTATATTATGTTCATTCATATTTTTAGGAAAAGAGTTTTGTTAAAATTTATGTTATGAAAATTAGGGTAATAGGGTGTGTTACAAGTGGGGCACCCCCCAAAAATCCAAATCCCAGAAAATCAAAACAAAAAACAATAATCTTTGACTCTGAAAACAGAGCCCAAAGAATTTCCCTATTTGTGCATGAGCCTAAATTCAAACATTTTGTCCTTAAGTAAAAACTTCACTTAATTCCAAATAATTACTTCACTGAATTTTGAAATTAATTATTCTGGAATAAACAAAATTGAAATTAATTATTCTATAATAAACAAAATTTAACAGAAAAATAAATTATGATAACAAAAATACCTGGGAAATAAGCTTGAAAGCAAACTCTGCCTTTGGATGTTTATTCTTATCTGGATGAAGCAACAATGCTATCCAAAAAATCCCATAAAAAATGAAATTAAAAACCGAAATAATTCCTCATAACATTATAAGATAATATATTTATTTTTGCATTTATATGTGAAACAACAATTATGTCTATTATGATCCTAAAACAGGGGATTAATAGTTGTTTAATATTGATTTTGATAAAAAAAACAAATAAAAATAATAAGGATTAAGAAAAAAATACCAAGATTATGGTATTGCTTCTTAATGGTAGAAAAGCTTGAATCTTCTGCAACCTGTAATAACCACATTATCAAGAAACTCTTAAAAAACAGAGTAACATTACTAAAAAAAAAAATGAATAAACAAATTTAGAAAAAGTAGAGCTTACTCTAAGAATCGAGTACCAATCAATAAAATGAGATTGAATAGAGGAATTATCAAAAGAATGATTATTATTAGTATTATTATTAATATGAATGCAAGAAAAATGAGAATTATGGTAAATGTTACAAGTATCAATGGCTAAATGAGATTTAACATCATTATTATTGTTTGGTAATTTTTGTTTTTGTGGTTGTTTTACTCTCACCATATTCTAGAGAGTGAATGAAAGAGCAAATTTTAGAGAGAGAAAGTGAAGGAGAGAGAAGTGGAGCGGTTAAGAAAAAGGAGGAAGAAGAAATGAAAGAATGAATGATTTAATTTTGGAATTTAGGAATTTTGGGTGGTTTGGTTAGTTGGTGGGAATGACTAGTTAGTAAAGAGTACCAAGCAACATTATGTTTAGCTTTATATTTTTGGTAAGTTGGAACGTTTTCAAAATGTATTCCAATTTTAATTGGAGTTATGTTAGGGTAATCCATAATTGCGGGGAATTGAGGATCTGTCAAAGGCTCTTATAAAGTAGTGGATAAAACTTGAGTTTTCGAACTTATTGTCATGTGATTAAAAGTCTTGATTTATCGGTTAGTCAAAATGTGAATTGTGCCATTTTAAAGTTAATAGGAGACCGATTTTTAAGATTTTTGAAGGCAATGTTTATTTTTCATGCATTTATTTTTGATTAATTGTGTATTAACACAAGTAGTTGGTTCTTGATAAAATTTTCTTTATTTCAATGGCCAAACTATAATGGTCACAATTGATTCATAAAAATTGGCTATTAGTAGAGTAGTTAATGGATAACGACAACCTAATATGAAGGCCAATAAGTGTTATAACTACGGGTCGGTTTGTTGTATAAGTTCAGTAAAAAAAATATTTTCAGACAAAGTAAGTTCAAACGTAATAAAAAAAAATTCATTAGATTTTGACACAGTTTTAAAATTATTTTAGATTGTTTCATTTAGAAAAATTCGAATAAAATAATATAGATTTAGAAAGTTCAGATAAAATAATACGGAGTGCGTAATACGAGTAAGTGTTTATGGACCCTTGTGATAAATAGCTTCACGATTCCATATATTTACATACTTAATTAAGCATTTCTTAAAGGGTTCATCGTTTGTCTACTAATTGTCTAATTAGCTTCCTTTTGGACTCACCGTATAAAGATGAATATGTTGTTAACAATTCAACCACAACCATATAATTTATTCTCACTCGAAAAATTATAAAAATGTAAATATAAATTGTAAAAATGTCTGAGCATAGCAGTATGATCTTTTATTATGCAGCTAATTCAGCTTAGTTATGTATGCATGAGATTGGATCAACTTTACTGGTGTGTACTAAGATGCTTCATTAAGGCCAACTGACACGAGGAACATGATTTTCGTAAATGCTTCACTTCAATTTTTATCACACTTTCTCGTGTTGCCCTTTAATTTTGTTTCTAGCTACCTCACTATAGTCCTTCAACTCTGTGGTACATCAAGTTGTACACAATATGAAGTGGTACATACCAATACACAATCGTCTTTGATTTTAAATCGCGTTTACTAACAAATGTACGATGATTCATTATCTCATATTATGCCTTAATTTATTAAACACATATTTATTTTTGGTTAGTATGGGGTATTTATAGTAGGGTCGGGGATCAAATGAGGAAATCAAGATGAAGCATTCATGTATGTTGTGCATGCAACAACTATAAAGCAGAGGTACAAACTTGTTTGGAACAATTTCACATAGCTATATATATAAGAGATATAGTCAACGTACAACTATGAATACCTAAAATCTAAAATCAAATCTTATTTACATTATTTGTTCATGTGGTTGACTCTGATCTCATAATTAATATATGAACAAACAAAATTGAGATCGATCTACAATTTCTTTTTATAAAAATAAGTGTTCTTTAATTTCTGCAAAAAAATTATTGGTAATGTTTTACTGTAGTCCTTCAAAACATAAAGTTGTATGAAGTAGGGTCTATAATATAGTTGTATAAATGAAGACAAAGAGAGTGTACTTGGGCAACTTGGGAAACAGGAAAGGTATTTCCGTATTGAAAGATACGAGTATTGACTTCTAAGGACCTTTTTTCTAGTATTGGTACTTTGAGCAAACCATTTAATTGGGTTTGGCCTTCAAATCAAGCAATTCCATCTTCAATTTGTTTATACACCGTATAATTTAATATATTTATAATGTATTATTGTGCTGTTAAAATAAGTGCAACTATAACATAAGTCCAAGAAGTAAACTTCAATTAGAATGAAAAAAAAAATTAACTATTCGTATATAGATACTTCGTATCAATTTGTATTCCCATTTAAACATTTCTAGTTTTTGAATTTTTCATAAGAATTTATTACAGAGTATATCCTTTATCAAGAGCAAAATAGGCATTTACCCAATGGCCGGAGCTACATTTTATTATTGGAATAGTTAAATGTTACTTACATTAGATGCATCAACCAAAAATAATATTGTACAAAGTCTCAATTCTCAAACATCAAGAACAATTAACACCGTACCCCTTCCAAAAATAAATTAAAATATTAGCAAAGGTGGAGGTCATGACAACTGCTATAAAATAATGTAATCTCATGCATTCATGCATGCAAACCTTTTTACAAACTCCATGTTATTCCTTCGTCCAAAATGTTCTAAAACAAAGTTTTCATGTCATATAAATTCAACTTCATAACTTAATCATATTATATTCAATATCATGTGTAAACGTCTCACATTTTCAAACTGATTTGACTTTATTACCGAAGCAATTATTTTAATAGCTAGTACTTAGTAATTTAATTTAATACTTTGTAGTACTTAATTTGTAAATACTAATTAGTAGCTAACCTAGCTTAGCTTAGGAAAAATTGAGCATTTTGATTGGCTGGTAAAATACATAGAAGATATTTAGAAATATGTAATACTTTGTCATAAGTCGTACGTATCCTCAATAAATTATCATTAATTCAATTGCATAAGCCACTTCTTATGAATTTTGTATGAAACTTATTTTTATGTACTCCTTTTTTAGTCCAACATGGCTTAATGAAATAACAACTTAATTTTAGTCCAATTAACATGGCGTAATAAAATAACAACTTTTTTTGGCTCATTGGTATTTCGAATGCTCATCAATAATTCATTTTTAGGTGTTTTCAGTTGAGGGTGCATATTTTTAACAATAGAGTGTGCATTATTATTATTATTATAGGATGTTCTTATTCTATATATCCAAAGAAAACGAGTTGGAAATTATAACTGTGTTATCCCAAAGATATGATTTAGCGGTCAAAATTATCTATTCCTAATATAGAGTATAGACTATAGAGTTGTGTTAAAAATTTTATAATGTGAAACGTTATTGAAACGTCGATGCAGCTAAGGGCTCGATGAAGCTTAAGGACAATGCTTTTTCTCTTCTTCTCTTTGTCTGGACTATATGTCTATTACAGTAACTTAGATTCCTTCACTACTTATTTAGGTGCCTAGATAATTAGTCAAATTATTGTACTATATATTTTATTGTAAATATTTAATGTAGCAGCCATGCATGTAGGATTGTTCAAATCGCATGTCATTTTTTTTTGGTAGGCTAACTAGTTAGTGTTACTATTCAATCACGAGTATATAAAACTTTAACTTTCTCTTATACTCCATTTATCTCTTACTGTTTGCTTTATAAAATAAGGGTCTATTCTATTCACCTTATTTTCACTTATTTCAGGTGTTAAGATAAGTTCAGTTAAGTACAGATAAGTCCAGTTCAGATTTAATAAGTTTTGATAAGGGTTATCTAAATACAAATTACAACTAAAATAAGTTTTAATAAGGTATATAAGTTTAGGTAAGTTCAGATTAGTTATGATAAGTTCAGATAAGTGAAAATCAGGTAAATAGAACATACCCTAATAGTAGTCATTATGTGTTTCATTATAGCTTACTTAATTTAATGTAAAAAAAAAAAAGTTTTAGATCGAGATAAAAAGTTATCCACCCAAATTCGACAATTAACCGAAATAAATCAAAGAATTAACCAAATCCAATTTTGTGCATTCATAACATACAAATCAACAAATCTACAATAGACAATGACTCAATAACTTATCAATTTACCATAATGATACAATTAATCATTACAAAACTCCTAATCATAATTTTTTAATTTTCAGACCAAATCCAAATCTAAATCCAAATCCAATTTTTTGAATCTCTCTTTTTTTTTTTTTTTTTTTTTTTAATTGTCATAGTAGTATTATTTTGTCCTTATCCTTTCACAAATTCTCTCTCCTCTGTCTCCCATCTCCCCACTCTCCTCAACTCCATTGCTCCTCTCTTCTTCCTTCTCCCTTCCAGCCCTGACATTACTCATTTACCCCTACGTTCTCACCTTTAAACCCCATATCTCAAGGGTATCACCGTCATTTCACTTCAACTCCGTCATCGCTTTTCCAGTTTTCCCTCCCATTACATACTCACCTCAATTCTACCCTCTTCTTCAACTCTTAAACCCTAATTTATTTCTCTCTTCCCCAATTTTCTCGATTTCTGGGTTTTTTGATTGGAAATTTTGATCGGAAATGGCGACGGCGGCGATGGCGACGGCCGCCGGAGCTTTTCTGGTGTTGTATGTGCTTTTGAATCGGAGATTATCGGCGAATTCTGATGAACATGGTGATGATCGGAGTTGTAATGATGGTGAATCACGATCGATTAGGCGGAAGATTTCTCGGCGGCCTGCGCAAGCTCCGGCGACTTGGTTTGAGACGATTAGTACTTTGTCGGAAACTTTAAGGTTTACGTATTCGGAAACTTTGGGGAAGTGGCCTCTTGGTGATTTGGCTTTTGGGATCAATTATCTTATGCGTCGTCAGGTTTGTTGATTTTTCTGGAATTTCTGGTGATTTAGGTTGATTTTGATTGAATTAAGCTTTGATTTACTGTTCATTAGTGTAGGATTAATTTTTGTTTTGTGATTTTTGATGGATTTTTGTTGGTTGGTATTTGAGAAATTTTGTAATTTTAGCTTAAAGATTGGAAATTGTCAATTGCCAAGCAATCTGAATCACCCTGTATCATTTAAGCTTGCATGTCGTATCTTAGAGGCAAGCTAATAATTTTGTTTTCTAAGTGCTGTGATCGCGATATCTGCAAGCTAGGCACTTTAATTCATATGTGTAGTTTGAAGGTACCTTTATTAGACTGTGTCTTATGTAGTGCTAATATAAGATAAGATGAGTGATCAAAGGGTTGGCGTTCGATGATCTTGTGTTATTAATCTAGGGATCTTACAAAGAGGGAGACAGTTTTTGGGAATTTGGTGAAAAGGGATTGAAGGACAGGTGGTGATGCAGGGATAATGGGGTCAAATTGTAGGGTGTTGATTGGAAAATGAGAGAAATTGTTAAATTTTTGAGAGAATACAAAATGGGCCGGGGCAACCCGAAGAAGGAGGAAGAGAGTTTGGTCTACAAATAAGGCTAAGAAGATTCTATACTAAAACCAATTAAGAATAGTAGGAGTAACTCCTCATATTAATAATCCTCCAGTTTAGAAGAGACCCACAACTCCGATTCTGATACCTTGTTAAATTTTTGAGAGAATATGAAATGGGCCTGGCAACCCGAACAAGGAGGAAGAGAGTTTGGTCCACAAATAAGGCTAAAGAGATTTCATACTAAAACCAATTGCCAATAGTAGGAGTAACTCTCCTACCTTATAAAGTGGAACCTTTTCTTCTTTTTCTCCAATGTGGGACACTTACAAATAGGCTATAATGGGTTTCAACATAATGGAATAGAAGCTTGAGGTTAATTTTCTTTGGGAATCTCAAATTTGTTTTGGAAGT